TGCAAATTTTTTAATAGGGGGTTTCAATCCTCTATTAGTTTCGAGACCTCGTAGTTATCGCTTGAATTTTTGTCAGATGCTTCTTGGGTGATATATTACAATAGGTGGCAGGCGCAAGATAGATAGCTGGATCGCTTTTTGTTATACTTCGAACAGTATTTATAATTTATTTCAAAAGCCATGTTTTTTTTGGCAAGAGAAAAGAAAAATTTGAGTGTTTGAATAAATTTTCATCTGGCAGAGTAATTCACTTTAAAAAACTATCTTAGCAGCATGTACAATTGATTGAAATGAAATGACTATATTATGCATTAAAGTTGTCAAGTTTAACACATGCACTGAACTCAAAATGACCACCTATTGTAACATATCACCGCTTCTTGTTTTGTGGTGTTGCTGACGGCTCATAGTTTCCCTTCTCCTCTGTAATTAAAGTTGCTTTTGTACTCCCAAAAAAACTCAACCCAGCAGAAAAACATTTATCGGTCACAAGCTGTTTCATTATAAAAAAAACAATAGAAAGTTTAAATTAAGATAACATTAAATTTAAGAAATAAAATGCATTGAGGGTCACTATGTGCGCTCATTCGTCTTGCTAGCAGCATCCCAACAAATCTAGTTTAAAACAGAGAGATGAACAAGTTGAAGCAAAAAGTTAAGTACTGAAAACACTTGTCAAATTTCATACAAATTTCAGTTATTATGTTGTTTTAATTCTAATTAATGGTTTTTGGTCAAATTGGCATGACAGGTTCAATCAGTAGATTGCCGAAAAAAGACAGCCAAATTGCAATTCAAATTTCGATTTCATAATTTTGAGTAGAACATACTTTTTTCAATAATTTTCATGAAAATTTTTCAAAACAAGATAGTTAAATCTCAACCAAATCTCAATTGAACAGCGCAGAATTGTCGGTTGTTCTGATATAAGCACTTTTTATACTATCAAGCGAGTTTTTATACTATCAAATCTAATATCTTATGTTTTTGAAGTCTTCAGAAGTAGAAGATTCTATAAGTATGTTTTCTGAAATTTTTTTCAGTTCATGGTCTGCCAAAGTTTTGAGCTTGCTTTTTTCAATAATCCGAGCCAAAATCACAGTAAAAAAAAATATTGCCGGGGTTCTTTTTTCAATGAGTGTTAACACAACCAGCAAAACACAATTTGCTTTACTTGAGTTGCAAACATTGTTTTTAATTTTTCTTTTGGTAGCATTTAGAAGAAATTCATTGGATTTCTCAAAAAAATATAATTGACTTTTGTTTCTCACAGTGTTTTTATGAGCTACTCAGCAGCGCATCTACAATTGTTTTGTTGACCATTTTTTTGCAAACCGATTTTCCGAGCGCTACCAGGACATTAGTAGACAGTATTTTGACAATTTTTTTGACTTTTTCCTGTAAATAAATTTGTTCACAGGACCCACCTCTAGTAGACAATTTTTCGATTTTTCCTTGTTCGACTTGTCGCTTCATAGGACAGTCGTTCTTTGACAGTCTTTTTCTGGCAGTGACAGCCACTCTTTTCTGTATCGCAAGCTCTGCTTCGCCTCAGTGCTTACGCCTGTTCTTCTGCTTGTCCTTCAGATTTAGTTAATAAAAAAACTCTCTAAAAAATTTAGGAGCAGCTCTCACACTTGAAAGGGTTACCTAATTAGTTTTTGGTTCCACTTAAATTCTGTGGATTTGAAACAAACACTCTTTTGTGAGAGAATATAACCATCTCTCGACCTTTTTCCTGTCTAAATAATCCTTCTCATTACACCACCAAGCTAGCAAGCGTAGTGTCTTGTAGGAACACGTTATTTTCTAACGCAACGCACAAAGGAAAGGGCTCATTTTCTGCCACGCACGTTTACTGCTTGGCATTGATATAGCTTTTAATAACTTTTTCGGTCAACGTATTAAGGTTTTTAAATAATTCTGACCTTCAAATCTAAACTATATAAAAACACACTGCTGATTTGAATGATCCGGACAAAAAGGACAAAACTTGAATTTTTAAATGCGTTTTTCGGAAATTGGGTTAAGATTAAACAAAAAATTTTTTTAAAAAGTTGCGTAGAATTTCAGTAGAATTATTATATTGCAATTTTTTAATCCAAATTTCTCAACCAAAATTTTACCCCAAAAAGAGTCATATTGGTTTTTTTTAATGGATTGAGATTTACGCTGAAACCATTTTGTTAATTGATGAGAAAGTTATATCACAAGAAGCCTCAAGCTTCTTGTGATATAAGCAAAAGTTTTGGGTTTGATGTGAGGCACGTAGCATAGTGGCAAGGCGTTCACTTTGGAATCGTCAGATAGTGTATTCGATCCCATGCCATGGCAATGATAGTGATTGAGGACGAGCTCTCACTTGACCTCTAGCTTCAAGGTTACCACAACCTGGCCGCTTACGGCTGCAATAGTGGTACCAAGTGAAAATTCTAGACGCAAAAAACGGCCTTGAGTCGCAAAAAAGGAGCTTCGCTCATCAAAATAAAACCTTCTGAAATGTGGTGAGATATTAAAAACGGTTTGCCCTTGACAGGACTGTTAAGGCCTACTGATAGATTCTCTGCGATTCGCAGAATAGAGTAAGAATCACATTTGTTGACAATCAAGAAGAAATACTTTCTCTTATACTGTTTTTCGGATTAATCTTTGTAGACTTTTGTTGTGACGTGGAAGAGGCTTCTTGTGGTGTAATTTTGTCATCTTTTAACAAAATAGTTTCAGCGTAATTCTTTTGAAAAATAATTTATGATAAAAAACGCCAAAGTGACCCATTTTTGGAGTAAAATTTGGCGGAGAATTTCGGAGAAAAAATAAACCATATTGATTCTGGATCAGTTTTAAGCAAATTTTGTTTTTCATTTTTTGTCTAATCTTAACCCAATTTTAGAAAAAAGCATTTAAAAACTCAAGTTTTGTTCGTTTTGTCCAGATAATTTAAATCAGAAATGTACTTATTTGAAGTTTCTCGTTTGCTTTTTGTCGGCATTCAGCGCAATCCATTTGCATTGCTCTTTTGTCATTTCAAATGCAGTTTTGACGCCATTTCACTGTCTCAAGATCAGAATTCTTTCAAAAAATTCAGACCTTGTTCAAAAAACTTTGTAAAAGCTACAAGTTTTTATAACCTCATTTTTTGTGATTTCTTGGTGGCTAGTGGTTTGGTTTGTTTTTAAGTATTTGACCTTTTACCTTATTGGGAGCTACTTTTTTTGCCGTTTTATAGCATGTAATTTCAAAGGCAGCTTCGGCTTTGAGTGAAGTTTAAGCTGAGAATCGATTTTCGTTGAGGGATAATTTGAATTAGAAATAAAGCAAATCTGCAAAGTTTTTCATTCCAATTTTCAATATATTTAACTTTTTTATTGACAATTAACTCATTTAGACTACACCCTTTATCTAATCTGATAACCCAATTTTCTTAAATTTTGATCAACAAAGGTGATTTTAAAATTGACGCCTGTGTAGCTTCCTTAGAAATTGGCACTGGGTTTCGAAAGGGACCGAATTGATTGCACTGACAGGACAGGGCTCAACACAAAATCTGTGGTCGAATACAGCCGTTCGATAGTACACAAATTTATATCATATTCGAACACAAAATCGAATAAAACTGAAACACAATGCCAAACTTTGTCGTTGATTGAACCTTGATCAATCAGATAATTTCTACCCTATCGAGCACGTTCATTAGAACATGGTAGAACTCAAAGTCTAAGTAAAGTCGATATCAAAAACGGATTCATGTCAGGGGCGGATCAGGGGTTTTCTCAAAGGGGGAGGCGAGTTTTAAAAAAAACTGAAAATTTTGTCGACCTTTTTTTAGGTGACCAAAATGAATTTCCGAGCGGTCCCAGAACATTATAAAGACTTTATTTGAACAAAAACTAGTGCACCGCTGGCAAGTTTTTGGGCCAGCGGTGCACTAGTTTTTGGGCACAAAAAGCTGTTTTTGGGCACTTTTAGGAAAATTTTGACAGAAAAAAAATCCTTTTTTTTACGCGCGCTCCCACTCAAAGTTAGTATATAGTGCCGCCAAAGACGCCTTAACAAAAACTTCAGGTTCGTTAGGCCAAAAACAGATTTTTTTTAAAGTACCAAAGGGGGACCCTTTAGTCGGCGGGGGGTCCAATCCCTGAGGAAAGGGGCGTCAACCTCCCTTAGACCGCCCATGATTCCGCCCCTAAGACCGCCCCTAGATGCAATTTAAATGACGGAGGCAAACTCAATGTCAGCTTTCTGATTTTCGGAGGCATCCAATTTACAAACTATGGGAGTTTGAATTGAATTTTAAAACTTATCAGTACTAATTTAATCATTTTTATTCGGTGATTAGCAACTATAATGAGGTTGTTGAGATGTTGAATGAATTAAATTAACAATTAAATTCATTTTTTCTGTCAAGTTGGTCGAAACGCAGTTTGATAAGGTCAATCAAAGTCGATCAGGTGCAAAGTTTGATTGAAGCACAGTACCCTGCTTGATTCGAACAGAATCAAACATAATTTGTTTCGGTCGAAATGGTCGATGTCTAACCATTTTGAGTCGAGTCGGTCGAAACTGCAGTCGAGCACATTGGCCTGAAAGGTAAGCTCAAATTAACAAAAGCACATCAGAGTAGAAATTATTGTCCAAAATTAAGTTGACTGCGTTCGGGGAAGGATGCGGTGTAGCGAGCCACTGATTTGGCATGGTAATAGCTGATTCATTTATAGAAACCTGCCAACACTGCGGCTTAGTTTTTGCCTTGCTGTTTTGTAATAAGCTGCTCTGTCAATTTCAAATTTATCGAACTCAAAAGACGGGATGTTTGGAAAACATTAAATAGTGTTAAGTGAACTTCCATACTGCCATTTTCATAAACCTTGACAGTTATGCGAGTCAGGTCATTAATTCATAACAATAAAAAGCGTTTTGTTTATTCCGTAACCAATCACATATTTGATGTTTCAAATCATGAACAAGTTTTGAAGGCTCTTTGCCATTTAATAGCAAATAGCTTAAACGTAATGCTCAAATAATTATGCTCCTCAACAAATTTAATAATCACATCAACCAACCTATAATTGCAAAATAAAAAAGTACACAAAGCATGAATGTTTTGCAGCCTGTCATTGCTCATAAAATTACCCTTTGCTGGGTTACTCTGCTGTGTTTAAACTTTTTCGGTAAGTAACTTTCTATGTCTTATGAAAAATATAAACCTTGAGCAGTTAATTTTAGTGACCAATTTGGCACAGTCCAATTCGGCTAATCTGGCAAAAAATGCAACTAAACAGAACTACTTCTATCTTTAATTCTTATATAAAAAACTGCCTCTATTTTTATTTGAGTTGAAAAATGAGAATTTCAGAAAATTTCAGAAAAATAAAAAATAAATAAATTCAATTTTGTTTGCTTATTGATTTTTACAACAAGGAAAAAGAACTTTGATCCGAGTTCTGACGAAAACAAAAATGTTCAAATCAGTGTGCCACAAAAAATATATTTGAAAACTATTATAAGAACTATTTCAATCATAACGTTCCGACGCCGTTTTCGCCTTGAGTCTATATTAAAAAAAAACGTTTTTTCTTACTTTCTCGTTTTGATACGTACCGAGAACACCTGATGTAAAATGCGTGCCTCCAGCCCTTTTGAACAACATCAAAAAAGTTCACAAAATGAACAGTCTGGCCTGGTAACGTTTTTTGCTTTGAAATTGAAAAGATAATTAAGTCAGTTACAAAACGGTGCATGATTTTGTGGCACTTTCGTATACGGGTTTTGAGTTTCAAGCTATATGAAAAAACATATAATCCAATTGATTACTCTGCGTTGGAATTTTTCAGAAGGAGTTGGGGTTTTGTCTACTTTTTTTTGGGCTCCCCTAGTAGCCTATGATACTCTTCTTGCGAAAAAAATGTACACCTTATGTTAACTTTTGTAAAGACAGACAGAAGTAGCAATTTTGAGCTCATAAATGAAAGTTTTGACCAAAGAAATTACGCTTTTTTGCGCGGCACCCCCCTAAAAGATATCATTTCATGTATTAGCACTTCATGACGCCTTTTAGAAAAAAAATACAATTTTCTAAATCAATTTTTTGGCAAAAATAATCGAAATCTAACCATTTTGGGTCGATTCGGTCGAAACTGAAGTCAATCACATCGACCTGGAAAGTAAGTTCAAATTAACAAAACCAGATCAGAGTAGAAAATAGTGTCCAAAATTAAGTTGACTGCGTTCGGGGAAGGATGCGGTATAGCGAGCCACTGATTTGGCATGGTAATAACTGATTCATTTATAGAAACCTGCCAACACTGCGGCTTAGTTTTTGCCTTGCTGTTTTGTAAGAAGCTGCTTTGTCAATTTCAAATCTCACGAACTCAAAAAAAAGTTCTGTTTAGAAAATTATTAACTAGTAGAAAGTGAAATTCCATGCTGCTGTTTTCATAAATTTTGACAGTTATGCGAGTCAGGTATTTATTTCATAACTATAAAAAAGCTTTTTGTTTGTTCCGTAACCAATCAGATATTTGATGTTTCAATTCATGAACAAGTTTTGAAGGCTCCTTGACATTCAATAGCAAATAACTTGAACGTAATGCTCATATAAATTTGCTCCCCAACAAGTTTAATAATCACATCAACCAACACATGAATATTTTGCAGACTGCCATTGCACAGAAAATTACTCTTTGCTGGGTTACTCTGCTGTGTTTAAACTTTTTCGGTAAAAAATTTTCTATGTCTTTTGAAACATATAAACCGTGACTAGTTAATTTTAGTGACCAAAGTGGCACAGCTCATTTCGGTTAATCTGGCAAAAATGCATCGAAACAGGAATGCTTCTGTCTTTATTTATTGAATAATAGAACTGCCTCCATTTGTATTTGGAACAATAATTTTTCCGCTACCGAGTTTGGGAGTATTCTTAGAATATGGTTTAAAAACTACATTGATTTTCACAAACATAACTTTCTCGACCCTCTTCAGAAAAGCGATAAAAAGTCTAATAAAATGTTTGGGAGTTCTGACGAAAACAAAAAATGTCAAATCAGTGTGTCAGAAAAAATAAATTTGAAAATCACTATAAAAACCATTTTAACCATAACGTTTAGACGCCGTTTTCGCCTTGAGTCTAAAAATTTTTTTCATACTTTTTTCCTTTTGATCCGAACCGAGAACACCTGATGTGAAAAGCATGCAATCAGCCTTTTTAAACTACATCAAAATAGTTCTTAATTTGCTCAGTTTGGCCTAGTGACTTTGCTTTTAAATTGAAAACATAAATAAGTCAATAACAAAACGTGGCTTAATTTATGCGCACTTTCATATACGGGTATTGAGTTTTGAGCAATAAAAAAAGTTAATCAATTTGTTTGCCAGAACTTTTTAAAGAGAGGGGAAGTTTTGACAACCTTGTTTTTTATTGTTTTTTGAGATCCCCTAATAGCCTATAAAACTTTTTTTTGCAAACAAAAAAAGTACACTTCATGGTAGTTTTTGAAAAGACAGACAAAAATTGCTTTTTTGAGCTCATAATGGAAACTTTTGAACAAAAAAAAAGACGCCTATTTCCGCGGCACCCCGTTAAAAGATATGATTTTAAGTATTGGCGGTCCAATAAGCATTTTAGAAAAAAAACACGATTTCTATATCACTTTTAATCATGAAAAAGATTGCTGGTATTAGGTTTAAGCATTGCCTTTCGACTGCCTTTTATATTCTATGGACTATTATGCAGTTTGGAAAAATTGATAAAAAAGCTGCAATCGGAAATCATCCTCCAAACGCTATGTGTAAGCACACAAAAGTATAACTTGAATATATCAAAAATTTGACAACCTTGTTTTTTTATTGTTGTTTGAGGACCTGACGAAAGCAAAAAATGTCAAATCAGTGTGCCAGAAAAAAAAACATATTTGAAACTCATCATAAGAATTATTTTAAACATAACGTTCTGTCGCCGTTTTCGCCATGAGTCAATACAAAAAAAAACTTTTTTTCTCACTCGCTCCTTTCGATACGACTGAGAACACCTGTTGTAAAAAGCGTGCCTCCAGCCCTTTTAAACAACATCAAAACAGTTCACAAAATGAATATTCTGGCTTGGTAAAACTTTTTCCTCTGAAATTGAAAACATATATAAGTCAGTTATAAAACGGTGTTTGATTTTGTGGCACTTTCATATACGGGTTTTGAGTTTCAAGGTATATGAGAAAAAATGTATAGTCAAATTGTTTGCTGTGCACTGAATTTTCTTAAAATGAATGGGTTTTGTCGACTTCGCTTTTTTTCATTTTCCGAGTTCCCCTAGTAGCTTATGTAACTTTTTTGCAATAAAATGTACACTGCATGCTAACTTTTGTAAAGACAGACAAAAATAGCTTTTTTGAGTTCATATTGGAATTTTTGACCATTTTTTGCACGGTACCCCTCTAGAAAAAATCATTTTATGTATTGGCACTCCATGACACTTTTTAGAAATGTATATATTTTGTTTTTTCAATTTCAAAAAATGGATAAGACTGCTGGTATTAGTGTTCAGCTCTGTATGTTTCAACTGCCTTTTCGGTTCTATAGAGTAGCGTTCGGTTTGAAAAAATTGACAAAAAAAACGTTTTGTTTTCAAGAACCATCCCCCAAACGCTATGTGTCAGCTCACATTGCTAAATTTTGAATATAAAAAAGATTTAAATAGACAAAATAGCTTGCATCGATTCAATTTGAAAAAAAATTTCAGACTAATTAAAATTCCGATTATGCGTTAAACGTACAATTGATAGTGCGCGTATTTTATCCCAACATAGCAAAAAGGCAGTCTTTACACACCCATAACTTTACAAAAAGAATAATAGGTGAAATTTCTATTTAATTTGAGACAACAAAAATTTTTAATTGATCAAAAAATTTCTGCTAAGGCTTCCCAATTGAAACGTCGATTTTTTCCCGGATAAAAAGTCACAAAAATCAAAGAAGGAAACCTTTTTTGTAGTATAGTTAGGGTAACTATTTCAAGTATCTTTAAAAATCACCTTATAAAGTAAGGTTTTTTTTATTTCATTTTTCAGAAATTTTCAAGAAAAGATCTGGGAGGTTGTCGTCGTCTCCTAATCATTCATCGCTAAACTTTTGCTCTCAATTACTACAATTATTATGATTAATTTTTCTATAAGCCTGAGTGAATAACCTTCTTCCATTCTATTTTTGCTTTCCCAACTTTCAAAAGAAATGATGAAATTTTTGTACAAGGATTATTTGTTCAGAATCAACTATTTAACTAGCTGTTTTGATGAAGTTTTCTGCACAATCTGACAGATGTTTATGCCTTTAGCTCAAAAGAGAAAAAATATATCTATCTTCATTTTATTTATCACAAAGGTATAGAGGTTTGAACTTGGGACTATTCAGCTACTACAATTTAAATTAGGTTGATCAAAGCGCAATATATTTGTTTCTATCAAAAAATAACTGGCCAATTCAAATCAATTCAAATTAAGTATAAGCCGATTTTTTTAAAATCCGTCAAAAACTGCTAGTTAAAAAATTGGTCACAAAAAGGATAAATTTTTGAAATCTATAAATTATACCACTATGACATATGAAAATTGATTTGTATAGGTATTCTTTTTTTACATATAAATGTAATCTGACGCAAAATTTCAGACATTTTCAATTGCATACATTAATTTTCAAATCTGTAGTTTTGCCCACTCGTCCAATTTTCTTTTTTGGTCGAGCTTTATTTGTTCACATAAAATTTTCTATGGATTGCGGTTATTCTTTTACGTGAAAGTTCAACATTCCTTCTTCTAAAAATTCAAGTTATCTTAAGCATCTTATAAGAAGTCACGTACTGAGAAAATTCATCATTTTTGAGCTGAAATTATTTATATCTAATCTAACTTTCTAGTCAGAAATTCTCTCTGAAATGTTTAGACACTTCAGGGATTTTCTTAAAACTTTTTTCTCATCTTATTTCTGATCAAAAAAATGATAAATCTAGGCTGTTTCTAGCTTTAAAAAGTGCTCCAGTTGAGGCTACAACTGCCGAGCTGCTATTTTGTAGCCAGTTGTGCTAACGGCTAGGCCACATAACCTGATGATAAACGATATTTATAGCAATCTAATGCCATGCGACTTTTGTTATAACGAGTGTTAATTTGCATTGTGTTTCTACGGC